AGTTGCGAGGTGTGTTGCTGCACCCCGAGATAATGTGGGTGGGAAGAAATAACTGCAGTGTTACGAGCTATTCCCTTCTAGGATCACAGATGCTAAGAGCCTCCTCTGCGATTCCGCAACTTAATAAAACATTACGTAGAGCCTTCTTATTACCGATAACTAAGATGATGTGATCATATACGAAATGAACTTAGAATGACAGCATGTAGCGAGCTGTAGAGGGCACAGTGTCACAAATTCATAGAAGTCCCATTAGGCATGTCAAGAAATATTTACACTCTTGCCAAAAATGCCTAAACTGTGTAACCAATTTGGCAAGAATTTTGAATGGAAGAGCTAAATTTAGTATACTGTAAACAATGCCTAAAGTAAACATACTACTGAAAATTAAAAATTATAAAGACTATTGTCAAATGTCACAAAAATTATTAAAAGAAATAAAGCAAATGACACAGTAATCTATGTAGAAATTTTGATGCAATTTGCAAAAATATTTACTTGGCCTAATAAGTAGTTTTGGGAAAATTGCAAAATGTAAGATCAATATACAAAAGTCAACTGTATTTTTACATATATGTAATAGTAAAATACACATATTGTACACTATAAATAAAATACAAATGATTTATGACAATATTTTTAAAAAAAGGGGTTGGAGAAATCATACTATCTAATTTTAATTCATACTATAAAGCTATAGTAACAAAGATGGTATGGTATTGACAGAACAGACATAACTATACTACCTGGTTTTCAACAAAAGCATTAAAGTAACGGAGAAAGGCAAGTCTCTGAACACATGGCTTAAGTAAGCAAGAAAATGAACCTGAATAATTGGTTCATATCAAAACTCCAAACGAATCATGGACCTAAATGTTAACAGTTCAGTCATAAAACTGGAAGTGGAGAGGCTTGTACAAAGCCCTGAATTCTATTCCTTGTAAGAGAAAATAAATAAATGAATAAATTTATGGCACCAGGCATGTGCATGGTGCATATACATACAATGCAGGCAAATACCCATACACATAATTTTAAAAAATTCTTTAAAAAAGAGAAAATAATTAAGCTACAAACTGGAAGAAAAAATTTCTATATTAATAATCTAGAATATTCCATATCTAGAATAAAGAGCCTTAGTAACTTAGTCACAAGAAAACAAATATCCCAACTAAATGTTGACCAAAAGATTTGAACAGGTACTTCAGTAAAGCAGGTCTAAGGGAGTTGGGAAGATAGCTCAGCTGGCTTGCCTCATAGCATGCGGAGTTGAGTTGATCACCAGAACTCATGTGAAACAAGCTGGGCAGGGTGACGTGTTTCAAACAGAACAAAACAAAACAAGTGATAAGCACCTGAGGAGTGACAGCTGGTTTTGTCTCCTGCCTAACCCAAGTGTATGTGCACTGCTACTTGCATGAACTCGCACAAACATGCACATACACACACACACAGGATAGTATACAAAGATGGTAAATAAGCAAATAAACAGGTACCATCCAACTACAGTCAAAAGAAAATAGGGGAGGAGCAGGCCTGTTAGGTCACAGAGGAGGACTCTACAGCCAGCCCTGAAGATACCTGATAAAACAGGGTCAAATGAAAGGGGAGGAGGTCCTTCCCTATCAGTGGACTTGGAAAGAGGCAGGGAGGAGACCAGGGAGGGAGTGTGGGGTTGGGGAGGGAATGAGGGAGCGGGATACAGCGGGGACACAGAGTTAACAAAATGTAACTAAAAAGAAAAATAAAATTAAAAAAAGAAAATACAAACTAAACCCGTGGCTTACTATTAAAAACATCCTAAAAATGGCTAAACTACGAAGACCGACTATACCAAGTATTAATGAGGATGTGGGAGAACTGGCTAAGAGTGTAAACAGGGACACCAAAATAGATCACTGGGGTAAAGGTGCCTGAGGTCAGTCCACAGAACCCACATGGTGGAAGGAGAGAACCAGTTTTAGCAAGTTGCCACTCAACCTCACGTTTATGCCTACCTTACATGTAGGTGCATGCTCACATACACAAGTAAATGAATAAATACAAGAAAAGAGAAGGTAAATGTAAATAGTATACCTATTTCTGAAACCAGCATCAGATGGTGTCCACACATGCCCCCATTCCTAAGCCAGAAGCAACTTCCAACTGATAACTATTTTCAAATGAAAATTTAGTTTTCTCCAAGACAGTCTCACTGGGAAACAAACAGCCCTAAAGGCAGGCTGCATGTCTAGTAGTAGATGGCCAACAGAAAACAAACTCAAAGGCATTTTTGGAGGTTCCTTGTTGCATAATATCATGTTGTGACTTTCCCTTTCCTTTATTTATTCATTTTAAATTTTTTCTTCTGCATATATATTATGGCTTCAGGTTTCAGGTTTTTATGGGATTCCTGAGTGTGCTGATGAGTGGGTTTCTGCATCTATCCCCTGTTTCTCATGCTTTTTGTGAGGGCTCTTTTCCTCTGTTTGTTTTGTCCTATTCTAATGTGTTTGGTTTTGTTTCATCTTATCTTATTACAGTCCTTCAGAAGCCTGTTTTCTAATGAGAGACAGAAAGGGGATGGACCTGGACTGGAGGAGAGGTGTGGAGGAACTGGGAGAAGCAGAGAGAGAAGAAACCATAATCAGGATATAATTTATGAAAAAAAATTCAATTTAAAAAAGAAGAAGAAAACCACACTAAACACAATATTTTAGGTACTGGAATAACTGTTCTAGAATATTCAGACACACCAGTAGAAAAGAGTAGAATTCCGAGAATTGTGCTGGGTAGATATCTGTTTCCTGTACCGCATCATTTCTACTGAGAACCACGGTTTATTATATTTATAATAAATTAGTTGTTTTGTTTTGTTTCTTTTCTTTTTCCAGACAGGTTTCTCTGTGTAACAGGGCCTTTGCTGTCCTGGACTCACTTTGTAGACCAGGCTGGCCTCTAATTCACAGTAATCCTTTTCCCTCTACCTCCTAGAGTGCCAAGATTATAGGCATACACCACCACATCAGGCTAATAAATTAGATTTTCAATAAGGATGATGAAACTAAAATTATGACTATCTGATATTTTATCTATTAATTTGGGAAATATTAAATTCCTGAGCTCTGAATTATTATGGAAAGCAAAAGTATTATGAGTGTGTCCGCTTCTATAACTGTCACTTTGGGATGCATGGCAAAGGGAAGAATGAGTGAAAAACCTCAAAGTTTTCTCAACTTGAAAAAAATAAACATATATTCTACCCTTAGATATTTTGAAAAGCATGAAAGCATAAGCTCATGTAAATGTCTATATGTGGCTGTTTAAAAGTTTATTCATAGTAAGCTCAAACTGGAAATAACTAAATGTCTTTCAAAAGGCAAATAAACAAACAGTGGTGCATCCACAAATGTAGTATGACTCACAGTCAAAAATAATGAAATACTGATACATACATTTCAACCCAAAGAGTAGATTTTAAAGAAGAGAAAGAAAATAAAGCCGGCTGCAGGTACTTGTTACAGTGTTCAGAGCTGACAGTGACCAGATCATACTTTAAATACAGTGGCTGGAAGTTTAATGAGTATGTAGAAGTTCACAAACCATTGTTTCTTCCATTTTATTCATAAAGGAGACGATGACATTACCACCAGCTGTTCACAGTTCACTGAATGAAGATCTAGCTGATAGGAGATAATTACCTTTTCCCTGTAGGAGGTAAAGCGGCTCTCATTCTGCAGACTCCTCTAATGAATGGTCATGGGAGTATGAGACCAAGAAAACATGCCAACAGCAAGCTGGTTTTTAATGACCCCTAAACATTTGATCACCCCCATTTACCTGTATGAAAACAGATGACTTAAAATATCCAGCATGTCAAGGACTGGCCCTCCGCCTCTAATCTTAAAGGAAACCAGCTCTTGTGCATGGCAACTATACTATCATAGAATTAGAAAAGGATTGAGTGGAAGACTAGATGCATTTCCACTCCCAGCATTCCAGTTCTCTCGATTATTTAGAAAGGTCCACTGATTCTATTTTTCCAATCTCCGCAAGTTTGTCTCTACTTCCAATAAAAATTCTCAACACAGCGCAAGGTTTCCTGCCTGTACTACAATCTCATTGTCCTAAATGCGCTCACTGCTTCAGTCTCTTCAAATACTATATTCAACCAAAGCACAACTTCTAGATTCTATCACTCATTGTACCTTTCATGAATAAAACTCTTTCAAAACTGGGTTGTGTTAATAATCCCTGTGTTTAATCCCTAGCACTGGGGGTTGGGTGAGGGGACAAAGAAAACCAGGATGTTGTGAAACCAAAACCAGAAAGTGTATAGAGAATACTAACAATCAAATAAAATTCAAAAGGTTTTCCTTATGAATAGCTAAGTCTATACATGCATATCAGTAAGAACTTAAAAAGATCACACAAAAAGAAGATGTAAAAGGCCCTTAACAGGTTGATCAGTATTTATTACTTATCAAAATGACCTCTATAAAATACGTATCTTTCACATTAATCATTTAATATCTGTATACCATAAAGTTTACGCTCTATAATCTATCTCTCAACTCTTTGCAGTCTTCCATCCCTCTTTTTCATACAATCTAAAACTCCACACAAACTAAAGAGTTTCGCTCACATTTAGGATCTTATATTACTTTTTTCCTGATATGGGGCCCTGCTCATATATTCTTCAGCTAGCATATCCTTTGCCTTCGTTTCTTGATGTAGATATCAGAGTTGACCACCTTCACAGTTAAGTTCAGATAATACATCCTCCATAAACTGTCCCTAATGTCTCCTCTGTCAACATGCCGATCAATAGGCTTTTCCTAGAAAATATAGCATACTCATAATTGTACAGTTTGTGTGTATACGAGCAGTAGCTTCTTTTAGGGCAGTTTCAGATACTTGGGGCCACTGCTGTGTTCTTAAAAAGCAAAACTTACTTTCACTTTTTATTTTATTACGACTTTTCCCCACTCAGGATTTATTTTTTAATCTAATCTTCTTACCTGGAGATATGTTATTCTCCTCTGGACGAGCTCTGTCAGATCTTTGGCTTCTTTTTCACGCCAATCACCTGCTCCATCTGTTTGACTGAGGTAGTATAGATCTGTCATGATAGACCTGTGAAAGCAAGCAACATTGGAGGTCCACTTATTTGTACTGTTTCACTGGATTACACAAAACCATAAAGGGGCCAAATTGTTCAGAAAGATTAGGGCTCAGGTAGATGATGGTATTAGTCTTTCATTTTCCATTAAGACTATGAAATTTTAAAATTAACTCTCTACCATCCATAATTAATTTCTATAGAAATCTATTTTTCTGAAAAGATGCACAACCTTTCCCCACAGACCAACCAGCTACTGTTTTCCCAAAGAACAAAGTATAAAGAATGCAGTTCAGTAGGTATGGTAGTGGTATCTGAATAATGTCACTGTGTCCTCACTGTTTCACAACCCTTCTTAATATTCCACTCTGAGTAACTGGGAAAAGATTAGAGAAAAAAAAACTCGACATAAATCTTAAACAATGTCCTAAGTAATCAAGCCCTAACCATTTCTTTTTTTAAAGGAACAGTTATTAAGATGTTAGGTTGTGTAAACCTGCTGCTTTTTTATATTTGAAAGTAGTAATGTTTCACAAATTCTCATGTCACCCTTGTGCAGAGGCCATGTTAATTTCTGTATCATTCCAGTTTTAGTATGCCTACTGCCAAAGGGAGCATTCTCTGTTACCTTTGTAGCAGGAAAGTTGCCATAAGCAATAAGGAACTGAATAGGCATGGCTGTGTTCCAATAAAACTTTATTAACAAAAGTAGGAAAAGAGCCAGATTTTGCCCTTGAGCCATAATTTGCTGTTCTCTCATCAAAACTAATGTAATGATTAAGATACTTTCTCACTCTGTAGCCATCAGTAATTTCAATCATAACAAGTTAGATTTCTTGGCAATAAACTAAAATACCCTGTAAACTATGAAGAGATACTTTAGAACTGGTACAGATGGTTTTATGTATATTACATTAAATAAAAGCAATGGTTTGCACTTAGTATAAAGAAAGTAAGAGAAAAAAATCCCTCTTTCTCTAACAAGCTCCAAATAATACGATGTCAGCAAATACATATACAACCAGTTTCTAACTATGAATCTTTACCAATAAGGCTACCAACTAAGCTACCATCTTCTCTCACCAGGATTATTATAACAGGTTTCTGATAATTCTCCTGGCCTCCAGCTTTGCTTATGTTGAGATTTTATTCATAGTGGCCAGATCATCATAATAATCAAATAACACTTCTGCTTTGTACTTAACATTGAGCTGACCTTTCAAATCACTCAAGAGTCAAAGTCACTATTTTTGACTTATATGTCCCCATACACCACGGCCCATCATTTGATTTTATTTTAATTCGTCCACAAAACCAATCAAACGTCTTTCAAGTACTTGCTGAAATGTCACTCTCTTCACAAGGCTTTCCTAGATTGATCTACTTGTAAAGAGTCAGCATCCTCCTATCCTCCCCCAATCTGCCCCTCCCCCCCCCCCCCCCCCGCTCCCTCTCCTTTCTCTCGTTCCATTCATGGATCCCAACTACAGAAACTCACAGATAGTTGTTCTACAGCATTTACCTTGAATATGAAAGTCACATGCTAATAATTACACAGCTAGGGGAAGAAGAAGTTACTGATTGGGGATGACAGTAATATATGGTAAGGAAGGCTAGGCATAAAAACTATCGTATCCAGTCCCCTGTAAGACCTGGAAGAAGAAAATTAATCAGTCAGAAGGACTTATTTAGCAAATGTTGAAATGATCTTGGCAACTCTTTTTTTCTGGCTCTTAACTAAAGGTTACAACATTTAGTAAGTAAACACTGGAACCTACAGAAAAACATTTGGACTATGAATGATTACACAGTGAAAAAGTGAAAACAACACATTTGAAAAAAGAAAAAGTTACTGATGTATAACAATTAAAATCTTATGATACAGCTCAGAATATTCAGCCTAGGTTAGTAGAAGAATGGCTTTGAACATGCTTTGGAACAACAGGTCACTGTCAAAGATTTTAGACATTTATTGGTATCAATAGTACTTACTCACAGGGCACTCTGAAGCTTATCTACTTCTATTTTCACCATTTTTTTAACATTGTAAGAGTATAAATTGTAGTGTTTCATTAACTTTTATATTTGTTATTCTTATTTAAGATTAAAAAATAATTTCTTTTTATTATACAGAATCAATTTTTAACAAATCAACCTGATAGGTTATACACTGAGAACAGTTTCAAATTTAATTTTTTTTCATATAATCAAACTGAGCTCCTTCTGGAATACTGTGTAGCCTACAATATTCTTTTTTGTTACTGAGTTAAAGTTACCACCCTCTATGGCTTGAGTGTTCTCTGAGTTTCCACAAGGACCCATTGTGATTAATGTCTTAATCTTCAGGGTAACAGCATTGGAAGGTAGGAGACCGGAAAGGCATTGTCCTGAAGGAGGTCTTAAAGTTCTTGAGGAGTACCCTCAAAAGAAGCTATGTGACATCATTTATATTCATATTCTCATTCTCTTTCTCCTCTCTCTGTCTGCCTGCTTCTCTCCCTCTCTTTCAGACTACCTGTTTGGCTCTTTCACACATTTCTATCGTGATGCTGGGAGGGCTTCTGCTGGAAGTATAAAACTGGCTGTTTCCAGTTATTTCCCTGTGGTTATGCAAACCTGCTTAACATGCTGACCACACGGAATTGTGATTTGATCTGAGAAGCACAGAAGTCTTTAACTATAATTGTGCTGTAAAGCTCAGTTGGAAATTTACAATATTTTCTCATGTTATAAACCTCTATCACAACACACTCATAGTTCTTTATATTTCATAGGCTTTATTTACAACATCAACTCTTTCCTCCTACTCATCAAGTAGTAACAATCACAAAACCTACTGCAAATCTCAGTGTTCAATAGCAATATTACTGCTGAAGATAAAGCACAGTGGAGTAAAATCCCGATCAACTAGCAAATGCCTACTGAAGAAAAGAAGGAAACCCAATATGCTATGTTCAGCTTTTAAAATAAAATTAAAATAAACATGTGCCTACACATGCACATATGTACATGCACAGGGACATATGTAAAAAGCTGTATGTTTTATTGACAGTTATAACTTCAACTGGGGGGGAGGGGACCTACTAAGCCTAATTTGTAAGAAAGTCTATAAAAATTGTTGTGGCTTAGATGCCCCTTTTTTTTTTCTTAACACAGAGTCCTGCAATGTGGTCCAGTCTGTCTTCAAACTTTGACTTTCTTATATCAGTCTCTAGAATACTGAGCTTATGGATATAAGCCTCTACACCTAGCTATGCGATCTGGATTCAGACCTTAAAAATCAAGCAAGTCCTGTACCACCAAAAATGAAAACAAATTTACCAATTTATATATTAGTAAATTTAAAAAGCAGCTTATTTTTAAATCTAGTTACATTAGTACTAAGTCTTGGCAATTCATTCCATCCTAGCCTGTGTGGGAATCAGAATGATCTAGCAGCTAGATGACTAAACATAAACTGCTTATTTTCAATACCATCTGACATAGGAAAATGCAAATAAAAACTACAATGTGGCAACCATTACAACTCCAATTAATGACTCTTTCTCACACACTCTCTCACATTCTCTCTCTCTCTCAAGGATTTAAAGAAAAAGTAACTCTCAGACACTTGGTAGGGATGTAGATTAGTTCAATTATATGATACAGCTATCTCATTTCCATGTATGTGTCTGGTATCTGCAGGAAATATAATCAGTGCATCAATGAAATACCTGCATGTCCATGTTAACTGCTGCATTACTCACAATAACTAAGAAAGAGAATCAATAAGAGAATAAACAAGTGTCTTAGTGGTGGTTTCTGCTGCTGTGATCAAATACCATGACCAAAGCAACTTCGGACAGGAAAGGGTTTATTTGGCAAACAGAACCCAAGTCAAAGTCCCTTGAAGGGAGACAAAATGGGCAGGAAATTGGAGGCACAAAGAAGACTGAAAGTCTGTCTATCTCACCAAGATGGAACACTATGTTAAGTGAAATATAACAGCTTCAGAAAAGTAAGCACCGCATTTCTCTTTCATGTGTGATGTTTTTTAAAGTCAACTTTAATATAAAATAATCCTAGCTAGCGGCTGAAAAGTGGGAGTAGGGTATACACAGGAGGACTAGATTTAATCACTGTGCAATATACACACATACTGAGGCAACACATGAATTTCATTAAATCCCACAACTAACATGCTACTGTAAAAGTAAACAAAGCATATAAACAATCAGTCAGAACACCAACACATCACAGTACTTTTTGTCCACCAAAACTAAGTTTGAGCTTTAAATCCCCAAACCCTTTTCCCAATCAGAGGCCACAGAAATCAGTCAGGAAACAAAGCTAACTTCATATCATTAACTCAGCCATGTCTGGAAGTTACAGTCCTGCAAAATGTAGTTTTCTGTGTTAAAGACCTGAATACAATCCAATCAGAAAGTTGTGGCCTATTACTGAGGATTACGGTGATTGAAAAATCTTTTTGCGGAAATCCTTGGTTTTTCAGGGATTCTTCACCCTGAGCCATACTCCAATAAGATCGCCAAAGCTGAAAATTTTGCTTTCTTTGCTTTTATCATGAAAGTATCATGAAATCTCATAGTTGGGCAGTGAGTATGATGGCTTCATATGAGGCCACATCAAGGCTTAGCATATGTAACCCTAGGCAAGCTCAGGTATCAGCGAAATGAGGGTACAGATGACAATAAGTACATGAGAATAGATTGTGTGACTTTAGAGTCAGCCAGCTAAGGGGGCTGTCAAAGTTTCATTTCAAAAGCTGTCTGTGCATTTTCCAGAGTCACTTTTCTATTTTCATAGTCATAAATTTTTATGTGAAAAGGGAGAGTGCCTAGTCTGTCTCAATTTTGCCACTAAGGAAACTATAATAAGAAAGGTTTTTATTTATTTCTGATTCAAACATAAAATTTTCCCTCAAGGGCCAGTACAGTTATAATTCATACAGGAATATGATACAGATTCAACACTGACTAAGATAAACCTAAAGGAAGTTGCTGCAAAGTCTAAT